GCAGCTTGATGTCATCAGCAAACTTGCCGAGGGCACACTCAATCCCACTGTCCATGTCACCAATAAAGATGTTGAACCGTGCCGGTCCCAAACTGCTCCCTGCAGAATGCCACTCATCACTGCTCATCAAGCCATTGATCGCAACTCTTTGAGCGCAACCATGCAGCCAATTACTTATCCATATCCACTGATTTGTCCCACTGTCAAATTCCTGTCTCTCCAGTTTAGAGACAAGGATGTTGTGCAGGACAGTGTCAAATGCTTTGCACAAGTTCAGGTAAATGACATCAGTAGCTCTTCCCTCAGACACCAACACTGTAACCCCATCGTAGAAGGCCACCAAATTTGTCAGGTGCCATTTGCCCTTAGTGAAGTCATGTTGACTGTCACTGGTCACTTCCTTATTTTCCACATGTCTTCTCATGGTTTTCAGGGGAATTTGTTCCATGATATTGACAGGCATTGAGGTGAGACTGGCCTATAGTTCCTCAAGTCTTCGTGGTTTTTTTTCCTTTTTGAAAATGAGACTTATGTGTTCTAGTTTCCTGTCTGTGGGAACCTCACAGGACTTCCACAGATTCTCAAATAGGATGGATAATGGCTTAGCCACTTCCTCTGCCAGCTCTCTCAAAATTCACAGATGCATCTCATCAGGTCCCACAGCCTTGTTCACCTTCAGGTTCCTTAGATGTTCTCAATTCTAATTTCCTGCAGCAGGCAGTACTTCATTCTTCCCATCCTTGCCTTTGCCTTCTGTGGGAGGAATGCTGCATGATAATCCCCTGGCTCACAGTGGGCAAACGCTGACCTGCACTGCAGGGTTTGATGCTGCAGGGCCCTTTCCAACACACTGATGCAGAAGTGAAGTGCAAGAGGGAGCCTGTCTTTGGTAATGTGGTTTCTAAAGGAGCCTCCATAACATATAGAAGCTTTTGTCTTTAGACATTTTCTGCAATATTATGGGACATACTTCTAAAGTGGGATGTATCTGTGTTTTTGAAAGGTCAAATAAAGTTTCCACTCAGCTTCAACACACAAATGCACAGTTAGCAAATGCATACAGTATACCTGCATATGCATTTGGGCACTTTTTTAAAAGATGTAATCTTTCTACAGTTTTGTTGTATTTTTTTTTTTACTAAAATTACTATCTCTGAGCAGACATCTAGACTTTATTAGATTTGTTTTCTCTTTCTGTTTTGCAGTTCTTGTTATGACAGCAGTTGCTTTCACTTCTACAATAACTCAAAATACATCTGAGATCACATGTGAGTTTATCAGCCAGAAAACTGAGGGTTCAGGAGCACCAGAGATATCAGTATCTCCTAAGGTAATATAGCAGAAAACAATTTGCTTATAAAACGTTCCTGTCCATTCCAGAAATACCTTCCCAGAAGCTTACAACTCACTAAACCTTAAAATGTGAGGATGTCACAGTCAAAATAACCAAGGTTAAGCCAAATATGACTACAGAAGTTTAGAGGGATATATATATCACAATTCATACTTTGAAACTGTAAATAGTTAAGTACCAGTTTTCTCTAAAACTGACTTTTTAATTGACACCTTGATGCTGTCCTATTCCTGGATGTTGCTGGCAATGTGTCAATGTATATATTTGTATATATTCAAAATATATTTGAAAATATGTGGCCTTAAGAGGGGATTTCCAAGGCCATGGTGTGAATGGGTGTCCTACCATGGTGTGTGTGTGCCATGGCTGCTGGGACTGATAGGGAAGTTGTACTGCCCTCTATTCCCACCACTAAAGCCCATAAATCCCTTGACTTAGATACCAAAGCTGGACAATAAATCAAATACAACTTTATTTTCTTCTCTTTTGACTCAAAATGGCAGAAATCCAAGAAGGGATGATGTGCAATTAATTTATAAATCGGCTGAGACCTGCGATTAAAATATTTCCTGAGGATTCTTGTTTCATGAAAGTCTTATGAAATCTTTTTCATTTCTGAACAAATAAATCAGATAACAAATAAAGGTGTATCAGCCAAAGTTGTGCTGTCCTTGTATCTGACAAGGCAGAATTTGGCCATTATTTCTAGATGCTTTTCATGTCAATCAAAAGGAAAAAGGAGAAAGGAATGAGAAGAACCAACCAGCCAAGCAAAACTGCAGGGCAGAGAATGCAATGAACTCCATCCTTTCATAAACTTACACTAGATAAATTTCACCCACCAAAATAATAGAGACATTGTGGGGTTCTCTTCAGATGGAGCTATTTACTTGGCACCTTTTGCTGCAGCTGATCTTAGAGACTCATTAATCCCCTGGTGGCTTTCAGAATGACTGCAGAGTGTTCTCTTTCTGTTTGCAATTCTCCTTTAGCCATATGCAATGGTGAGGAAATGAAAACCATGAACACGTCCAGTCCCAATGTTCCTTACCTACTAAAATGCCCAAGGAGTCGAGGAGCAGTCTAGCCAGATGATGCAGTGACAAGTAGTAGGATGCTAAAATAAACCCAACATTTCGACCCTGCCTTTACATTAAGGTTGCAAACACACAGGTTTTGTTGTAGTTCTATGTCTTCCTACAGTTCTAAATAAAAAGAAACAAACTTGAGTGTAAAGAATAACATATATCACCAAGGGAAGTTATCGAGTTTCTGGCTAAAATTGTTTTGTGATCTCTGTCTAGAGAACAGAATTAACTAATTCAACAGCAAACCTGTAAAGTTTCCTCATGCAGTAGAACTCAACATATTTATGAATAAGTTTGACAGTAGAAATGGAAAAAAAACAACAAACCAAACAAAATGAAGGTGTTATTTTACTATAATTTTCATTTGTATTTTGGCAAATAAAGCTAATTGCTGGTAAATACCTAACAATCTGTCCTTCTGCATTGCAGATTTCTAACATTTTGGAAGATCTTGGGTGTTATTTGAATTCTCGAGGAACAGAGAACATTTATAAAACAATTAAAAATGTGGAAGTCAATCTATTTCAAGATATTGAATTAAGAATAATAATGAGAATTTTAAATATCACTTCATGCTTTTGGTTCTTTAAAGAGAGAAAAGCTTGTACACTTTTTTTGGACTCAGAGAATCGGTAAGTTAAGGAATGTACTGGATCAAAGAGCCTTTAAAAGGTCATTTCCTTTAGGATTCAGATGGAAAGTATTCTGTGTGATCGATTTCACATCATGTATTCTCTTTTTCAATCTCCTAATCTTTCTTAACTGTTGTCACCCAGCTGCACATTGCTGATTGTCATTTAGATATATGTACACACATGAATCTTAGAACATTCCAAAATAAGCTTGTTCTTTTAATTTGTATAGCATCATGTGTGGGGGTCTCCAAGGGCTTTCTGACATTGATCTATTTGAGCTTTGTGGTGCTCATGTGGGAAAACTGCAATTTTATAGTCAAAGAAACTGAAGCATGAAGAATTATATGACTTTTAGGATCACAGAGAAGATCAGGAACAACAACAACAGCATTCTAATTCTCACAGCCAAACCTGGGCTGGAACCTGAGACTGAATTATTACCTCCTTGTGCAAAACTTCTAGGTAAAGCATTTTGATGTGGAACTCCTGAACTGTCCTAAGCTCAGGAAGCCCCTCCTTCCCAACGCTCAGCATTAAGAATGTGGTACTTGTGTCTGTAAGTTCCTATGTGCGCTTGTGTAGGAAGACACATGCTGAAAGCACTCCAGGCTGAAGGGCACTATGTAAATAACGAATACTAATGGGTTTTGCAGAGCTAAAGAGCTAACATTTCATTGTGTGTGCTGCATATTACCTTCTTTATGTTAACACGACAAATACCACTTTACTTTCTGTTTTATAGATATATTACATCTTTGACCTTTTCACAAATAAAAGAAGGACAAGCTGGAAAATACACCCTCTTGGTCACAAGTGAAAACAGCAATTACACAGTAGTTGTGCCTGTTCTCATCCGAAGTGAGTATATCTACATGAAAGGGGTCATACCATCAATAGGTTCAAGGGCAGAGACTCAAGTTCAGCCAAAGCAATGAAGCTTCCATGAGCTGCATTTCAATCATCTTCCTAGATTAGCATAGGACTTGGAGGCTGAAGTTGGCATCACAAACTCTGTGAGAGTCATCTTTCTTCAGTCAATAAACCATGCAAATGAACAAATAAGGATGTAAATGCATGGTAACTCTCTTCTGTGTGAGAGATTCCCCTCTGTGACTTAAAGGACAAATCGAGAGTGGCTTTTGTGTGCTTTCAAAGCTTTTGGGCTACGTTTGTTTGCTTTCATTTTAACCTGTTTATTCTGGTGTTGCTGACTGGGTTGTAATCTGGACCAGATCAGGACGTGCCTTTCATATTCTGGTCTCTGATGCTCCCAAGTCACAGTTTGAACCACTGCCACTTTTCCACCTGTGCCTGCTGCTGGGTCTTTCACTTCTCTCACAGCTTTTCCTTTTACAATTCTGTGTTCAGCAAGAGGTACGCTGAGGGAAGGTGAAAGAAAGTGTCCCTCTTCTCGCTGTCGGCCTTTACTTGTAATTTACTGTGGTTTAGAGTAAAACCCATCAGTTCTGCAGCTGCTCACACAAGAGTGCCCAAGAAACTGAGATTTTAACTGTTGTTAAATGTTCATGACAGAGCACCTGTGAGGTGTGACTTTTTGAAAGGCTGAGAGTGGATTTGATTGAATTTTGTCAAGGTTCGCACAAGAGACATCTCTGATGCAAAGGCAACTGCTGCAACAAAGTGCAAACTTCTGTTTCTAAGTTGGGGTGTCCAAAAACATCTCAAAGCACAAAAAGACCCATGTTGACACAATTTTCTGAAAGAAAATAAAGACTATATTATTTTGTCTGAAAAGAGCCAAATTTAAAGATAAAATTTAAAAATGCAAAAGAAATTTCAAAAGCATAAATCCAAACAGCTAAAAGACCCTTCTAGATATATATTTAACAAGCATCACTACTTGCCTTGTTTTTAATAAACTGTAACAAATCAACAGTTTTTATTCCATCTTTTAAAATATTTCTTCTGTTTAATTTTTTTCTTTCTCAAGTGTCAGAAAGTCACCTCCAATCTCTCCTTGTTTTATTTGAAAGCTTATTGTATGTCTCATTTATAATTTTAACAGCTTTATTGAGGGGACAAGGTATTAAATCTTTCATTAAGGATTGCCATCTCTACTATATCAATTAGGCTTTAGAGGTAAAATATGTTATTACATGCACAAGCAAGAATAGTTTGAAACACTGTCGATAAAGGTCTTTTCCATATCAATTGCTTGGATTGCATTCTCTTTGCTCCTGTGAATCTAATATCATAATTACATCTCATAAAATCCTTCAGGCTAGATGTGAATCCTTCAACTGGGATGTGAACCTCTGTAGGTGTACTAAACCTTCTAGGCCCAGCTTATAAGAGCTAAACGAGGAAAGAAATTAAAAAGTTGTAAGTATTAGTTTCACCTTAGCATGTCACCTTGCAGGCAATGGAAGTATGACTGAAGAAGATGTCACTCTTTTGGATGAAAGCTGTAATTTCATTGAAAGATGACCTAAAGCCAAACTCAGTGTTTTGCATTTTGAGTCAAATCTTCAGCGGTTTTAACACATGAAATTTTTTGTGCATAGTCCAAACCTGTGCTTGATAGGTTCAAGGTACTGGTAATTCTCCAGGAATCATTTCCCTCTGGGTTACAGATGTAGGGTAGAAAAGTCTGCTTTCAGAAGTCATTATCACTCGTCGTGTTTCTATCCTGTATCTGATCTGACCGAGGAGTATGCAACAATCCCACTTTGTGTACAGACTTTGTAGTCTCATCAGATACTCCACCAAAGGAAGGGTTTAGGATGTGATTTTCAAAAGGTATTTGTGCTCCTGCCCATTGAAATAAATAGCAACCATAGCAAATTAACACCTTTCACTATCAGTTTCAGGATTATCCGCTGATGTATAGGGACAATGCAGGCCTTTGGTACAGGGAATCCATGAATATAGCACTCAAGGCTCATGAGATCAGCCCACAATACTGCTAGGGCCAAATAATTTTCTGGTCCCTCAGTGTTGAAACTTTCTGAAAAAATTACAGCTCTGTAACTTCACTTACTATGAAATGAGCAAAACACTGTCTCATAATCATTTCATCATTCTTAAACATTTGCATGATTTTTAACAGAAAAACCAAGCAAGCCCCATTTCAGGAAAAGGGAAAATTCGGATTCTATCGAGTGTATATCTGAGAGCTACCCCCAGCCCTCAGTGGAATGGATATTCTGCAAAACACCTGAAAAGAGGTATGATGTATGTTTATATGTGTGTTATATCTCTAAACTGAAAGTTTCCCATCTTCTAAAGAAGAAGTGACAGGATGAGAGGAAATAACCTCAAGATGTGCCAGGGGAGGTTTAAATTACATATTAGGAGAAATTTCTTCACTGAAAGGTTGGTCAGGCATTGGAACAGGCTACCCAGGGAAGTAGTTGAGTCACCATCCCTGCAAGTGTTCAATAAAAGTGTAACATGGCACTTGGAGACCCATTTTAATGGTGAATACAGCAGCATTAGGTTGATGGTTGGACTTAATAATCTTAATAAGAGCTTTTGGTTCAGAACTTTTTTAAATGGGCTCTGCTGTTTGGCACACCCACATGATGGTTGAAAACCTATGTCTGCAACATGTTTTTCTTAGAAATTTTGACTGTTGTGCTCTTTTGGAAACTGTCAGCTCTTGGCTTTAAGAGTGTTATTCCAGATTCTAGTATTCTGGTGTCACAGGAGCAAATCAAAGATATTTAATTTCCCTCTAGTTTTTCACGTTTATTTGAAATTTTAATCATACAACTATAGAATACTTTGTGTTGGAAGGGACTTTTATAGGTCATCTAGTCCAAGCGCACTGCAATAAGCAGGGACATCTTCAAAAAGATCAGGTTACTCAGAGCCCTGACCAAAATGACCTTGAATGTTTCCAGGGATGGAGCATTTACCACCTCTCTGGGCAGCCTGTACCAATGGTTCACCATCCTCATCAGGAAAAAAATATTCCTTATGTCTAGTCTAGATCTACCCTCTTTTAGTTTAATACTGTTATCCCTTGTCCTATCATAACTGGCTCTGCTAAAAAGTTTGTCCTCATCTTGTTTATAAGCCGTCTTGAATTACTGGAAGGGAACTATCTCTTCTTGAGGCTGAACAACCCCAATTCTCTCAACCTGTCTTAACAGGAGAAGTGTTCCAACCCTCTTATCATCTTTGTGGCCTCCTCTGAACTCTCTCCAATATGTCCATATCCTTCATATGTTGAGGGCCCCAGAATTGGACATAATGCTCTAGGGGGAGTCTCATGAGAGCAGAGTAGAGGGGCAGAATTATCTCCCTCCACATGCTGGTCATGATGCTTTTGATGCAGCTCGGAATACAACTGGCTTTCTGGGCTGCAAGTGCACATTGCCAGCTCATGTCCAGCTTTTCATCCCAGTACTCCCAAGTCCTTCTCTGCAGGGCTATTCTGGATCCATTCATCCCACAACCTGTATTGATACTAGGGATTACCCTGACCCAGATGCAGCACCTTGCACTTGGCTTTGTTGAACCTCATGAGTTTCCCATGGGCCAATTTCTCGAGCTCGTCCAGGTCCCTCTGGATGTCATCCCATCCCTCAGGTATACCAAGTGTACCACACAGCTTGATGTCATCTGCAGACTTGCTAAGGATACACCCGATCCTGCTATCTATGTCATTCATGAAGATATTAGTACTGGTCCCAATACAGAGCTCTGAAAGACACTGCTTTTCACTGATGTCCAACTGGACACCAAGATATTGACCATTAATCTCTGGATGCAACCATCCAACCAAATCCCCATTCACCAAACAGTCCACCCATCAAATCTGTATTTTCCAATTTAGAGAGAAAGATATTGTGGGGGACCGTGTCAGAGGCTTTACAGAAATCCAGATAGATGACACCTGTTGCCATTCCCTTATCCACTGCTACTGTCACTCCACCATAGTAGGCAAATAGGTTGGTCAGGTAGGACTTGCCCCTGGTGAAGCCATGCTAACTGTTTCAAATCACCTCTCCGTCCTCCATATAACTTAGCCTAGCTTCTAGGAGGATCTGTTCCCTGATCTTCCCAGGTGCAGAGGTGAGGCTGATGGGTTGGTAGTTCCCACAATCTTCCTTTCTACCCTTTGTTACATTTCCCTTTTCCCAGTCACTGTGGGCTTCATTCGGAGCATTAGAGCTGGGAGGATATTACAAGAGATCATAATTTTGTGAGCTAAATAAATTTTCCCATTCTATTAATATATAAAGTTTATTCTATTAACAGTGGGAATAATGCCTTTCTCTGCAGTGTGGTCATTTGGGATCTGGGTCTCATAAAGGCTGCTGGATTTGCAGTAGCTCCCACCACCAGGAATTCAGAGATGTGGTGTGAAAGCTTAGTCTCTATGATTTAACTCTTGTCTGGATTTTAATTACATCATTACCTGTCTATGAGCCAGTTTGAGCATATTCAGGTCGTTTCAGCCCACATTTCTTCCCAGACTGTGAAATTTTTATTTTCTTATCTTCATCTTTCCTAGTTCCTTTTCATTCAACTATGTAAGATCCAGTTTTCCCACTATTGTTTGCATATTCTCATGGCTTGGAGATTTATCAGATTTAGTTGCCTGAGGTTAACCAAATGAGTCAATGAATAATTGTGCTTGTAATTGCAGTTGCCCTGATAAAATGCATGAAGAAACTGGAGAAATAGATGGCATACAGATGGTGCAACATGAATTATTTCGAACTTACATATGGTGCTGTGCAGTTAATGCCCTGGGCAGAGAATGCACCAGCCTCTTTACGATAGGTAACTTCCCTCTAAGGTTTTCTTGCATGCGAGCTCGTTCCTGACACTGAAATTAGTTGCACTATTCATTTGAGTATGCTTTATGGGCTAAGCTACTTGTTTGTAATCACTGGAACAAATCTAACAGTGAATATGTTGCTTCGTAACAGCTTTAAAACCTAATTCCAATAGCTCTTTGTGGTCTCTGTAGAAAACGTCTTGCTTTTCTGTATTTGCTATGCATGTGTTGCAACTGTGTTGCATGGAAAAGCTCTTTAAGGTGTTCTCAAATGTATACACATAGAAATAATTTTTAATTTATATATATATATGCAGGTTTGTTTCTCTGTTGTTTTCTTAATAAACCTGACCTGAACTAAACTGTGTGCTTGCACCCGTGCCCTATAGATTATGACAAAATTTGGTTTGAGACATCTAAATCCATCAAATTTACTAATTTAATGATTATTGTAACTATCATTACAATGAATAAATAATGAATATCTATACAGCATTAACAGAAAAAATGTTGATCTAACCAAGCATTTTTTCAGGCAAAGTGATAGTTGTTTCAGTGCTGTTTTGATTTTGTAGATTTGAATGAAAGACATGCAGCACCTTTACCTGAACTGCTACTTAAGGTCGGGGAACCATTGCTGATCAGATGCAGAGCTGTTCACCATAATTATAAATTCAGAATAAAATTATCTTCTGAAAACAGAGAAGTTCAGGTAAGAAGATAGGGCATGTTTTAAAATTGGTAGTATTGGGCACTATCAACTGATTAAATTGGAATCTCTGTTGAAAACTAGGATCGCCTGTTTGGAGGATTAGAATACCCAGCAGAGCACTCAGCAATTCGGATCCAGTATATATTTGCTTCAGAAGCAGGAAGAGGTGATAGTGGACGTTATACCTGTTCTTCTACTGCTCATCCGAATCAAACTGCTGTGGTTACAGTTTTAGGTAATTCCAACCCCTGGTATGAATTTTTTTCCTCAGCTGGATGTTTTGCTTTATTTTCCATGTGGCAGTTCTTTGCTTGCAGGTATGCAGTACGTGTTTATAGTTCCTTTGCTAAGGAAGAAGTCTGTTTGCACTTACTGGCAGTCCAGGAGAGCCAAGAGATTAATTTGAACTGAGTCATTCTGGTACCTGAATACAATCAACCTTTTCTTCATATTGCTTTTCAAATAATTCCCATTAATAATAATTCCCAGTGCTTTTAGAAGTGAAATTAAATGGCACTGGTTAGAGATCTAGTCCATATGATTGTTTCAATGGGATCTCTAGAAACACAGGCCAGGATTCATCTCATGTTTCTGTAGGTGATGCTCAGCCAGTGTGCTGCAAAGCCAGTGGCTTTTTGTGAGGACACAAAACTGTAGGGTCCCTGGGGGCTATGCCTTGGGCTTTCTGGGTAGCGGGTACTTCTATAGTTGTGGAGCCCTTCTCTGTGTCACCAAGTGGAGCTGCAGAGCAGATACAAAGAGCTAGAGCTAAAGCACTGCTGGAGCTGGCCAAGAATACAAGAAGTATGAGACCTACCCTGTGTGTTCAGCTATTGATGGTTTGTATGTTAGTTTGGTCAGTCTGGTATGACCACTGACTGGCTTCAACCAATGTGAAACAGAAGTATCCTGCTGTGACTTCAACATGGATTTTTAGAAGCTGTAGCCATGGACTCAGTCTCCTCCTCACCATTGCACCTCCCTACTCACATATGGCATTTCCACCCCACCTTTGCTGCGCTTTTGAGGGTGGGGATGTAAGACAGATGTTCTTGTGGCCTCTGCTCTGCTGTTTTGTATGGACCTTTCAGGTGATTGTTGCTCTTATACAGAAAAAAAAGTAGACATGAAATCTACTTGTGTGGTCCTGATCTGGGTCCAACAGGACAGAATCAAACAATTGGAAGGTTCTTGCTGGTAGGTTTTCCTACTCAAAACCCGGAAAAAATGAGAAATGACCATTTCCTCTTATGGCAAGGGAGTGACTGACAAGAAGCCATTTGTGTTTGCCAATTTTTTTATGGGAAAGAAAATCTGAGAAAGAATTTTAGCTCCAAAACACATGTAACTAGTAGATGAAAATAAATTTAAACTTTTATGTTAATGGAGAATGTAAGCCCCAACAGATTGTCGAGTGATGAATGAATGCTGACAGAGATGGCAAGCTGCCGTACAAAAGTGCTGCTGCAGCTGTGATGGATCCGAAGGAAAACCTGAAAATAGAGAGACAACTACTCCCATGTTATCCTTTGTTCTGAGTGTCTCCTGTTCTCCAGGTACTAAAGGGAACCATCTTCTTGCTGCCAAGCTACATAAGGCCTGAAAATTTTAAAAAGGAAACTTCATTCTACTTAAGCAATATGTTGATTTAAAAGCCAGTGGTGTTGAAGTTAGTTGAGAACAACCTCAACTGCAAAATTGTTTCTCAGATGGAAATAATATACAAATAGGTACAAATATGGAAAAAAAAAAAAAAGCATAAAAAGGAAAGCTGTAGGTAGAACCATTCTGCTGGAGTAGGCACTGGGAGTAGTTTAGTGACTAGTGTGCCTGGAGTTGGAGTTGCCTCTGATAACAAGGCTCTCTGAAGCACTCACCATGTGTTTGACCTTAGATGTAGTTGCTCTCAGAGCTTACAATACCTAGGCAAGGAATGATAGGAAGTGAGAACAGTTACCCCAGTCTCTTCAGAAATTACTTTCCCAGTGCGATATCCTCTTTTCAGATTCTGCTAACCACTGAGCAGGAAGTTCTCCCATCATTTACAGTAATGAAATACGATACCTGGGCTTTTTTTCTACATACATCTTAGTGAACAGGAATGTAGAAGTGAGAGGATACTGTAGAGGTAGGGTGAGATCCTCCTCTTTATCAGTAGTGTGCACAGGTCAGAAATAGTGGCTTCTTGGATATATAAACTATCAGGCATGAATATGTGTGACAATCACAGGGAATATTTGAGTCACTGTCCCTGGAAGGCTATATTTCTGAGAAGGGTATTTTTTCAGTGCAAGGCACAAACCTAAAATGATCATCTGTGCCCTTCTTAATAGCCCTTATGCCAACAAAAATTCTGAGGGCTCACTGTCTTTCCTGAAGAAAAAATCTATTTGTTTACTTACAAGGTGGATAAAAGAAGGTAATGTTGTCATACCTAGCTAGCACTAACAGCTATACTTCTCTCTCCAAGGTTCTGCAGGGACATCCTGTACTTCTGATCCACCTCAGCCTTTAGCATAATGTGTTAATGACAACCACGGCTGGTGTGAATTCATACTAGCATGCCAGGTTCCATTTCAGCAGTTATATAGATACAAATACAGCAGTGATATAGATACGGATTTCACTCAGCTGCCCATGTCTGTGTCCTACCTTTAAAACTTTACTGTGAGTGGGTCAACACTGGGAATCATTGTGATGCACCTTAACCAAGAGAAAAGTGATTTGATTGGCACATACTGCATTGCCTGGGGAGCCTGGCTGGCATAGCTACATGCATGGGTGCTCTTCTAATCTCTAATAATGCCTTGCAGCCAGACTGCTTTGGTTTGCTCTTTGCTAACTGATACTTCATCAACTTATCCCATTTTGTGTGGCTGGTCAGGTCAGGCAGGGTGGTTAGGTCACTTTAAAGCACAACACAGATCATGCCAATGACTGTAGCTGCAAGGCTCTTTGTTTCTGCAGTTCTTATGCTCAGTTTCCACCAGTGTTGAATAAAGAATTTTTAGCACTACACAATCTTGCTTCAGGAATATGAAAGCTATTTTACAGTATTTGTTTTGCAAAATTTGTTTAGAGCAACAAATAAACAAATATGATAAACACAGAAACTTGTTCAATCTCAACTTTCATCTCACTTCTGTGTCATTACTAAATGTAAGTAGTCAGAAATACACTTAAACTTGCCAGAAATCATAAATCGAGCAATAATGTGCTATTTTGTTTCTCCTTCAATAAAGAAACTACTTTTTTTTTTTTTTCTGAGTTATGTTCCAGAGAAATAGCATGCACTGCTCCAAGGTCCATGTATGCACTCTGGAGAAAGCCTTTACTCTTGGTTGGTTGTGTTGTTAACAGTATACTCAGAGATTATATTCTGCCTGGACGGATGAGGACCAAAAGATGAAGGTCCAATTTATAAAAGCAGTAAGCCTTTAATATCAAAAAGTAGGAGAACAGCCATGAAAGGAATTGCTTCTTGTTTTAAAATATGGACACTTTTTTGGTTTATATGGGAGTTTTCAGGTAGTATTTTTCAAACCAGTAAGCTAAGACAGAGATAAAGCATACCAAACAGAATATAAGGTTATAACCAGAAGAAAAAACACTCAAAAGTAAAACCCAGTCTAGCAATATTTTTACGGTGGAGTTTTTCACCATGTGGCTGATTAACACCGCCACAAGTTTCCTGGAGGTTGTAAAGTCTACTTCCTTGGAGATATCCAAACTCAACTGGACATGGCTCTGAGCAATCTCATCTAGTTGGACCAACTGTGAGCAGGAATTGGACTAGATATCTCTTCCAATGTATATGGTTCTGTGACTTTTACAGAGCTGATGCTAACCCCACTGATATCTTCAGGACAGCCTCCCCCCACACATCTGTTCTTCAGTCTCTTTGGATAGGATTCATTTCAAGTCATGAGACATTTGGCCCCAGCAATGAATTTGGTTCCTTCAACAGTCAGTGTCAAGAAACAGATATTTCCAGAAGCAGTTCAGTACATCTTTGTTATCTTCTATTTTACAACAGGGTACATCTGGATATGCCTATTTCATTCCACTGAGTTTATCAGAGGTCCAAACAAGTAGCTTAGATGGATCACAGAACTTCAGACACCTCCATTAGGTGAAACAAATCCCACACTAGCAGGGCAACTGCCAGCAGCACGTGGTTCATGGACATCTTCAAAACACTTTTCCGTGTTGCTGTCATCTTGCATGAAATATGTCTAATTTAGATGGAGAAATAAAGGAGCAGCTACAAGACTAATTTAAAAAATCTTCAGCTCATTTCAGGGAAGGAGAACTACTATCAGCATCTGATTATGCTGGTGGTTCTCCCTGGTTTTTCTTCCCTGTAGGCAAAAAGCCAGGAGTTGCAGCTGTTAACACCTGGAATACACATCTAACCCAAACAAAATAAATAATGACATTGTTGAGCCTATGATTCTGTAGAGCATATTGAGGAGAAATGTTGAAGCATTTTTAAGTGCTCTGGTCTGACCAAATACACAACTTCACCAGGCTCAAATCATTTGACTGCAACTGAACACAGTGACAACATTTCAATACTATTTTGAAACGTTATCTTATTTTAACAGGATGCCTTTTGTGATGTAACATGATGATAGTGATTTTTTTATCTTGTGATAACCAAAATGAAAAACATACAGATGTCAAAATTTCTTCATTAAGCAGTCCAGCCTAACATCTCTTTTTTTCTTTTCCTTCAGAAAAGGGATTTATAAATGTAACTGACTCTAAAGAAGATTTTGAAATTGATGAGGAAGAGTTTTGCTTTGAAGTTAACTTTACAGCTTATCCACCAGTTAGATGCATGTGGTTATTTTCCAAAAAAACATTTCCATGTCAACGAAGTTACAATGTGGATGGACACAGGTACTTGAGTCTTTTGTAATAATTTAATATGATAATGTTTCCTCTTTTTATCTCATTTGGACTGTTTACTGTCCATGTTTTGTACTCTGTGTTTTTAAAATGTGGGTGGGCCACATGATGAAACCATGTTAACAAAAGACACTCAAACACAATTTTGGCTTTCAGCAACAGTTCACATATATAACTTGTAGAATCAATTTATTCTCTATTTACAATAAACCCTTTGGTAAGTTATGCATTTAGCAACCTCTTAGTTTATATGCATTTTGCCATTCCCTTTCTCTCTAACATAATTTTTTAGTTTCAGATCTGCTGCAGTTTTTGTACTGAATCACAAGTTCTGCATGTTCCCCTTTTGTCATCCTGTTCTTGATGATGTTCCCAGTGTCTTTCAAACAACCCAGATCAAGTCCAGGGACCTGTAGTTTCCAAGCCTCTGTTAGATCTGTTTGACTGTGCCTGTGCCACAGAAACATACCGTTCTGCTCATTACCCAGGTCATGTATTCTTCTGCTGCTGCAGCAAAACATGTTTTGAATAAACCTGTTAGTTATCTACCTTTTCTGTTATTTCCTACAATGAACTTCTGGCATGTATCCTGTTTAAGGTTAATGTTTTCTCCATTCCCTAGGCTTTCTAATTTCTTGATAACATTATCTAATTTCCTTCAGAGTTTCTTTCAGAGTAGCCCCATGGCTTTGAAAGTAACAGCTCTTATTCACCTCAGTGAGAGTAAAGCCAGACTGCTCTTTTCCAGTTTTGACTTTAAAACTGAGCAGGACCTGGGCAGAAACGAATGTGGCTGCACTGATTTCTTCTCATATTCTTAAAACCTCTCTTATCATCTCCATAAAGCTGTGTCATAACCTGGATTACACTTTTCATGGTTTCTTTCTGTAGTATTTTGGTACCTTCAATTTTATCCACTAGGTTGTCGAGGCATCTTTGTAACAGATTGGCCTTTTCATCTGCATCAGATGGTGTTTTGGAGTCAGACCTCAGTGAGGTTCAGAGACAGCTCAGTTCAGATTAACAAATTGTCATCTCCTGGCAATGGCCACAGGAACTCTGTCCCTGCTGATAAAGTGGGGGCTGTCAGCAAACTTTGATAGCATTGCGTGGGTGTTGGTGACTAATCTGCAATCCCTGACATGGGCTCAGTAGATCTGCGCTTTGTGTCAAGATTGATTTTGGAAATGAAGTCTCAAGGGACAACCGTGAGCATTTGCTCATCCTTGTCAAATAGGTACCTCCCTCCAGCTGATAACACCGAGTTGATCTGCTTTGCAGCTGATATGGACCTCTTCTCACCGCTTGTACAAGCAGCAGTCAGTTTTGCTTGGATGATTGAGAACTGGTGTAAATTCAGTGCAGATAAGATAAAGGTGCTATGGACTGCGCCAACAATAATAATGTCAAGAACTCTTGAAATAGTTTAGGCAACCCTCGTTAATTGGAAAGGTGCAACTGCTGGTGCTTTGGGATTTATGAGTCACTTCAGATAGCCTTTGCAGCACAGAAGCAGCAGTTGCCGAGTGCAGATCCCCACCTGCCGGATGGGGAAAAGTCCAGCCTGTGTCCCTGGAGCTGTGTGTCCTTGGCTGGCTCAGCCACAGTCATGGCCATAGCCACGATCACAGCCACCAAGTATTGCTGGGGTGTGGCCTGGCGCTTGCTTCAAACAGACAACTCAGCCATCCGTCTGACTGTGCTATTGGATAAATAGATTTTTTTAATGTTAATTTTTGGGTAGTTATATTTTGCATTGTTTTATCATTCTATTTATTTTATGGAAAAAAATATGATTGAGGAAAAAGTACTTGAATTTGGTAATTATTTCATCTGACAAGTACATTCTTCTCTACAAACATCCCCCACAACTATACATACACAACTATAATTTTGGTTGAATACAAACATTGGATAGGTACATCTCACCTGAGGAAAGAAGCAGCAAGGGATGAGGATGTCAGGAGATTCTGCCTGCAAGCTGTAGCACTGCAGATTTCCATATGATTTTAAAGCAGAAAGTTTCCCGAAACTACAAGAGAAAGGTCATCACATATCTAAACCTATTGCAAGTCTCACTTTGTATATTTTAGTTGATTTCTGTGTAATCCTGTCTCCCAACACTTCTACTTTGTTCCTTTCATATCCTTTTTCATTTCCTGTTTTTCCCTTTTTTTATTTCTGCCATTTTCGTATTAAGTTGTTCCTCCTGATTATAGGTCATATTAAATTGTATTAATTAGCTCTGTTCTTTTCTTTAGCTTTTCATTTCAAATCCCGGAGATCCATCTCTCCTATCACTACCCTTGTGTGTTTTCAGACATTTCTCCTGAATTTCCATTTTCTGTTTGCTTTTGTTGTCTCTCTATTTCAGCACACTGTTGATTTTCACTTCCCTCCTAAGAGTAAATGAGTTTTCATAAACACTATGACCCCTGTTAGAATTTATAATATTTAGCTCACATGCCATGATATTTTCATGTATCAAAGATATTGTTTTAGAATTTTTTCCCATTATTTCATTAGGATATAATCCTTCAGCCCTGGGATTTCAAAAGCAATTCATTATTTTTGGTTTGGGGGTTGGTGTTTTTTCCTGTCTTCAGTATCCATCTTGAGTCAGCTTAAAAGGGTTCTAATTTTAAAATGTCTATGAGTTCAAGGACAATTTTAAGGCCATTTCAGATGAAGATATTCAAAAGTCAATAACTACAAGAAGGTGTTGCCTTAGTGAGAAGGCAAAACTGCCAGTGGCTTCAACACAAGTTTTCCTGGTCTAGAATTTCAAGGCAATACTTAGTTCCTTTGTATGTATCTTCCTTAATGAGAAATACCCCCATCTTAGATCTATAGATTTCTATCTCATTACTGCTTTCTCTCACCTTGCAGATTGCAGGCTGTCTTTTTTTCCTTCTTTGCTTCAAACTCACTGATGTGCCTGCTTGTCTTTACCACTTAAACATAGTTGAGGACATTCTACATGGTTATCCTTGAGCTGTCAGCAAAATCATCTATCCCCAAATGTCAGCAACTAACCCTAAGAGAGATTTTCTTAGGTTGCGCTTCTAATGTTGATGAACTGCATTATCTGCCATTCAAATTTGACGATTGTCCTCACAACAATAACCTAGTCAAAAGCACAGAAACAGGATACCATCTCTGTAAGTTGGTATATTCCCTCCTCCCTGCCTCATCCCACGTCTCATAAACCAGTGACAACAGGACAGTCATGCATGAATCTTTGAGTTGCTGCAGTTCTCAGTTGTTAGCTTCTGCCCAGTGACTTGTTAGAGCCCTCTCTCATAATTTCCATTGTCACAAGCTGTCTCCTGCATGGTGTGGGTCTTGGTTTTCTGCCATCCACTGGGTCAAAGGCCATAGGGATTAGTAGAAGTCTGATCTTCCTCCTGCAGAACTATCTTGATGGTCGGTGTTTCATCTCATTGACAATAAATTTATGATGGTGACCTCATTCCTGAGTTTCCATGAGATCTTTCCATTTGGAGAGGTTTATCTCTTACAATCCTCCCTGTCATTGTTGTTTCTTAATACTATTTGTCATATCAGCTAGAAAGTCCCATCAAAGTTCTTTGGAGAGTAGAGAGTTTGATCCTTTGCTGGTCTTAGCATCTGTGCCAGGATGTGTTACGTGCCTTGTCTTCCAATGGATCGGTAACAAAATAACAGCTTGACAGCCTATGTGCACTCCAGGCCCTGTGAGAAAAAATGCAGAATGAAATCAATACTGCAGAAAAAAAAATATACTCCCACAAAGACTGTTAGATTCTGGGGTTTATATTCTCTAGTCAAAAATAATTTCCCCTGTGTTCTTCATCAGGGGATGCTGAATTGTTTCCAACATATGTATGGGTCTTGACTACATTTAAAATCTTTTTCAAGTCAATTTTTTGTCCTTTTCCTTCTTTGTTTTTCTTTGCTCCACAGCATGTCATCAAAGTTCTGCAACCATCAGCACCAGTCTGGGATATACATATTTTATGCTGAAAATGATGATATGGTTGTGACAAAAAAATTCACTCTCTATGTGAGAAGTAAGTGAGAAAACTATCCCTGTGAAGATTTGGCAAAGTCTGAGACCTTGTCACTGGTATAAATGAAACTATTGTTGTTTTTCCTTGGTATTTGCCATTTCATTTACATAGATTTATTGTTAAAAATGGAGGATCACAAGGCAAAAATATGATTCTCTTCACACTGCACTCCACTACTGAAATCCAGGCATGGGGGCAGAGAAAGACACTGGATTGCTTGTGGGTTGTATTTCTTGTCTTGGTCGGGGATTGAGAACAGAGAAAGGAGGAGAAAGTTACTAATTTTTTCTTTCCTTTAGTCTATCATAAAGAGAATATGAGAAATTAGTAGATACTCAGAAAATTAATACTTCTTAAGAAAATTACAAGCTTAGGAGCTCAATAAAATACAGTGACTGTATTCTAATTCTACAGAGCTGTAACATATATGACTGCTGCAGAAATGACATGAGCCACATGAGAAACTCATGACTTACACAGGCACAGTCTTGACCAATGCTGTCAGTTATCTCAGTTCTGCCTCATGACTGGAGCATGTCTCCCTTATTCCAGGTCAGGGAGCATTATTTATGATATGTTATGTGTGCAGGGATATATCCTGTGCACATTTTGTACGAGCTGGACCCCCAGAACTGGAGTGTCAGGGCAGTCCTAAGGCCAATCGCTTGTTCAGAGTCAGAAAAGCAGAAGTTAAGGCTTCTAATTTTGGCTCTGCCATTGTTTTGGTTTCACTGTGCCCATACAGAGGAGTGGCTGCTCCCCTTGCCTTGCCCGCACTGCCATCCACAGAACTGAGGGAGGAGGAAGACTGCGGGCTGCACCCAGCTCTCACAGGACATGTGGGTGGGCTATTTTGAAAACACAAAAGCAGACCTTGGTCTCAGCAGATACAGTACACAAAAATGTACAGGGTATTGTCACTTGAAATCTGATAGAATTGTCACTGTGTATTGTCACTGACAGAAATTGTCTTACAGAATCATAGAACTGATGAGGTTGGAAAAGACCTTTAAAATCATAGAGTCCAATAAGCCCAGCACTGCCAAGTACACCACTAAACCATGTCCTCAAGTCTTGTGCTATCTTGTTGTAGGAAAGCCTGAAATAACGATGCAGCAGTTGTTCACACAGATCTCATGCACTGCTGAAAGTTATCCTGCCTCATCCTGGGTTTGGAGGAACTGTCTTGAACTGAACTCATCCAGGTAATAATTTTCTCACTTTTTTGTTCATTGCAAAGACTATCTGAGCTATCTTTGGTTACATGAAGACTGACCTGTAAAAACCCAAGTTTAAGATGCACCCTCAACTCTTTGGTGTCCCACTTCAGAGGAACCAGATGACCAAAACTAGGGAAATTTTTCCATTTTTTTGTTGACATCAAAGGAATTCTACAAAGAAGTATCTCAGGCTCTTTGCACCAAAACAAGCCCCACTGGGTTTTTATCAACAGTTAGGTAGCTACAAAGTTCAATCTAAGTTTTTCTCTTAGCCTATCGACATTAAAGTGATTCAGGGAATGCATTGGTTAATACAGGCTTGATTAATTGTTTGAGCTTTGGTTAAAACAGCTGTTATGGTGACCTGTTACAAAAGCCAGTGAAGTCAGGGAGAGTGTTTCCAGTAAAGTTAGTGAGAGTGTTTCCATTTCCTCTATTTATTTAGGGCAATGAGTCAGGCACTAAAATTTCAAGAGATGCTGAAAGAACTTTGAACTGTTTTATGAACTCTGCAGTTTTTATTTTAGATTTGCAAAAAACTAATAATCCTATGGTGCAGAAGAGTACTTGGTCAAATTATCCTTTATAAGGTTGTGGATAAAGCTCTAAGTATTTTAGCTAGACATTAAAAAAAATATCTGAACAATTTTCTTATCTATACCTCTGAAAAGGTTTCCTAACATCAATCTGTTCATGTAGAAATGGAAGAGGAAAGAAAACGTCCAGCTAGTGAGTTTAAAATACTCCTTAAATCATCTTTCTGGAAAGAAAATGCTGTGACATCTCTTTTCTTGGAAACTTCCACATGTAGAAGCTAGTGTTATGTCTAGAGCTGAATAAATTTTATTTATTTATTTATCTCCTCTTTTATTTATATGAACAGTAAATTAGGCACTAAGCTGATGAATGATAGAAAAGCTAAAAGTCAAAATTATCTCTGTGTGAGCTTCCTTTCCCTCGAGTATAATGTTCCCTCTTTCTACATATGAGGTCTTAAATAAGTCATTAATACAGGGTGGATACTCTTCATCTTGAGTAAAAGAAACTTCATGGTTGAAAACATATATCTTCAGGGAAAGGACTTTAGAACTTTTACTGTGGGTTCATTTCGCATTTATAGTTTTAGTAGCAGCCCGTTTGGAGCTGCTCAGTGGTTTGAGTTTTGAGGCAAGTATGACACCAGTGGGAATAGATGCAGTATAGGAGGGTTGTGTCAGTTATGAAATTGGTGGAGGTCCTGGAGGGCAGTGGGTGCAAGGCAGTGGCGGAGAGTGGGAGTGAACCCAGTGTAGGAGGTAGAAAACCCAATGCACTCCCTGCTGACCCTGCCATGTCCATCCCCAAAAATGAGACTGGTAACCAATCTGAAGTCTCACTCTATCACTGACAAAAATCAAGCCCCCTCCCTTCTCATCTTCCAAGACAGACATAAGACATGTTTTGAAACTTTCCACCTTCTCCCCTGGAAAATATCAAATCAAATACCAGAACTGGTCCTCTTACTTTTTCAGCTGTATGGAAGAAATTGCAGAGGGGATTCACAACTTCTTGCCAAAGAGGAGATCCCTGGGGTCATGGATTTCAAGCAGTACTTTGGATCTAAAGGAGACAGCAACAACCTTCTCTGTGGAGTGCTGTGCAAACAATTCTGCCGGTTCAGCCTGTAAAAAGAGTTTCATTAACCAGCCAGGTACCATAGGCCAGTGTTTTAGCACAGGGTTTCTCAATCAAAACTAGCATGGTAGAACTTGAGGTATTTTTTTATCTGGCTAAATGGCTGACCGCGCAATGGCATTACAGGTAAAACACAATCTCTATGTGTATACAGCATCAGAAATAGTGGGTGAATGGGAGACAATTCTTTTTTCTCCAATCCCAAAGCAGGGGCTTCCCTCATTAAAATAAGCAGAAACTTCACACAAATAGGAAGTGTGGGATGGAACCATGGCAATGTTGGGGTCTCATTTTTTATTTCATATTAGTAATCCCTACATGAAATCTGGATGCATCAGCTTTGGAAAGAACTGAGGTCACTTGATAACTGGTGGCAGATGCTAGCTCTTGTTCCTTTCCTGGAAGTCATTGTGTTTCTGCTAGAAATGCCCATGGGAGCTCTTGTCACCCCATGGAGGTCATTGCATACACAAGCAAGATCATGACTGAGCCAACAGACCCACTCAAGGGTCTATCCCGTCTGGGAAGAAGGAGACCTTCTGGGCAAGAGACCTTCTTAAACTGATAATAGACAAGTGGCAAAAGATTAAACCCTAGTTTGGAAACTGCTGTGCAGTCTCTCTTCTTGCTGAGACAATGAGATATTTCCTTGTTGAGCCAGAAAGTCAATATGATTATTTGCACTTTATACTTGTAACACCATATATATCCGATAGAGTAAAAATTTCAGTTACAAAGAACATGCTGTGGCACCTAGGAAGTGTTTTGAAACACCCATATATTTGCAGTACAGGGATTTCCTTTGTCATGGGTGAACAACCTGTTTGGTGCTTTTGACTACAGCTGGCCAAAGCCGTGACCACTGTCAGAGTTCGAGCATTCATGTTGAAATCAAAATAGAAAGTAATCTTTATACTTACGCTCTTAGAAACAACCAGAATATGAGGGTAGGTCTTATGTAACACTCACCTACCCACCAGCCCCTTACAGTAATATTTTGGCTTGTTAAGAGAGTTCCTGGCTGAGCAGCAGCAATGCTCCAAGCAGGCTGTGTACAGTCCACCCACCGATAACTGGAACTTTGGTACCTAACATATGTTGATGGGGGAAGGCACAGGGAGAGAGCAGGAAGATGCAATAAGAAGAGGATATGATTAGTCCTGTTTATGCTCACAGAGTTCAATCCATGGATCACACCAAAACCTCCATGCACTTAGATTTATCAGTTTATTTTAGATTTATTAGTGGATGTAGCCTTTTTTTTCTGAAAACAGATGTCAGAATTATCCAGCACTTAATGCCTCCCGCCCATCTTGTATATGGCTCCATCTCGCTTTGTACATGGCTCCATCTCATTCCCCATGCAGAGGAGGCTCAGGAGTGAGAGGGCTACAAACTGCCACAACTGACCAAGCCATCATGTGTTCTCCTTGCATTTTCAGCTGCACACACAAACTGATTCAGTGGGTAGTAATATGTGTCTCTTAAAGTTGCAGGAGCTGTTTCTTCTCTCACGGACAATGATGCATTCTATGTCTCTGTTGGATTTTTTCTCGTATTGATCACTTTTGTGTTTGTATTCATGTTTCTTAAATACAAAAAGGTAAACATAAATATCTGTTCCTTCTTTTGTTCCTACCCAGCTGTTTCTTCTCTAAGACTTCTTACACTGTGTGTTTTTTTCTTCCAAAGCAATTTAGATATGAAAGCCAGTTGCAAATGATACAGATGATAGGGCCATCAGATAATGAGTACATCTACATTGACTTCAGAGAATTCGAATATGATCTAAAATGGGAATTTCCCAGGGAAAACCTGGAATTTGGTGAGCATTCCCTAAGGCAAACCCCAACACTGGAGTAATAGCCTGTACTGTACCAGCAGCAAATAATATTGGCATACTGTGTCTTGTAGGACAGATCCTTGGTTCTGGGGCTTTTGGAAAAGTGGTGAATGCGACAGCTTATGGAATTAGCAATGCGGGAGATTCAGTCCAGGTCGCAGTCAAAATGCTAAAAGGTATGATAAATTCTAGTACCTTTCACAAACAACAACATATTCTAGTGGCTCCAAAACAGAAGCAGCGTTGGAAATCCCCTTGTATACAACCTTTCAGTAATTATTCCTCACAAACACTTGGCTTCAAAATCCTTAAAATGCCTTTCAAAATCCTGCTTCAGTTTGGAAAGGTATTGCTGAAGTGCCTTCATCCTGCAGTGTGTTGCCTTTTGTCCTACACACTACAGAAGGCGTGTGCTGTGTGGGGAAGTATGGAGCTGCTCTGCTCTAAAGAGGAAGAATGGAAATTCCTAGTGCAAATTAACCTCCTGGTTACATCGGTGTCTCTATGAATTTTGGTGTAAGGTCCCTTTTTCTTGTAGTGTTGTCTAGCTGTGGAACACCCTTCATCTGCTGTGTCTGAGCTAGCTTGTTTCCAAAACTTCAGCACAATTTCCTGTAGTCTTTTCTTCTTGATGACACAAAACTACTTCTTTCCATCCCTCCCTACAGGTCAGGCTTCTTAAACCTCGAATACTCCTTGGTGCTATGCTCTGGCTGCTCTCCAGGATCTCCTCATAAAAGCAGTGTCCAGGAGCAAACCACCCTGGCAGCAAGAATGATAGAATTGTTTAGGTTGGAAAAGATCTCTACTATCATTATGTCCAACTGTTAACCCAACACTGCCAAGTCCATCACTAAAACATGTTCCTCAGTGACACTACTATATGTCTTTTAAATACTTCTGTGGATGGTGAACCAACTGCTTCCCTGAACAGCCTGTTTCAATGCTTGACAAACCTTTCAGTGAAGAATTTTTTCTGCATATCCAGTGTAATCCTCCCCTGGCACAAACTGAGGTCATTTCCCCCATCCTTTGACTTGTTTCTTGGGAGAAGAGACTGATATTCACCTCACCCACCTCTCGATACATATTTGGATGAGTTTCACATTGACACCAGCACCCTGCCCACCTGTATGCCCACACAGCCACTTACTGCCAGTGCTGCCATGCAGCTCCATCCCCTATTTGCACATATGCATCAGTTTTATACTTCCTTGGTCCATTCCTTTGTGATTGTCTTTATGGAAGCTCAACTTGATCGTTATGGTTCACATACTTAATTCACTGAGATCCTGAGGACCAAATGCTTTCTGAAAAACAAGACTAAAGCTATAACAGAAACACAGGGTGGCCTTCTTAGCTATTAGATTGCAACTGGTTGCATGCCATATGGCTGCCAAGACATTTTTTTCTCTTAACATTTCCCTGCAACAGGATTGACTGCCATTTTTTCTGTGCTTGTGGACACTTGAATAAATTGCTCTCATTTCTTGCCCAAGAATGACAAATGTTGACATTTGAGGGCTGCTTTCCCAGGCCTTCAAATGGTACACACACACACACACACACAAATTTAGTTTCTACCTTTTGTTAAATCTTTTTTTACTGTAAAAAGATTTTTTTTCAGAATGTTCCCAAATATGCCATTATTTCAATGAATTTGAAATGAAGATTTGCATGTGATAAAGCATCATGACCATTTAAATTTTTATTTCTTTGCTAGAGATTTCCAAATCTGTGTTATTACCTTTACAGAAAAACCTGATGCCGCAGAAAAAGATGCTCTAATGTCTGAGCTGAAAATGATGACTCACATTGGAAACCATGAAAATATTGTGAACCTACTAGGAGCTTGTACGGTGTCAGGTAACTTGCAATTGTGGAAAGGTACGAATTAAAACCTCCAGACTAAAAACACTATTAAAGACATCCAAGTCATAAATAATCACTTATTCCTCAGGCTGCTCTTCAATCTCTTCTCTGCTGAATTCCACCTCTGCCCAATCAATTTTGCTGTTCTGTGCTGGACCAAAATAAGATGAACTGAAAGCAAAGTTAAAGCTGTGCAGGTGTACAGAAAAGGGTCCTTTCTGATTGAACTTGCATGAAGTGATACAACAGCCCTTCTGTAGAAGAGGATTTCCTGTTACAGTGGTGATAGCACTGATATGGGCCAATTTATTAAGAGGAGAGGAAAAACTTATCTGGTGTCAGGGACTTTTGTATCCACATGATTATGTTCACATAAGAAATAATTTTTTTTTCTTTTTTTTTAAATCATATGGATCACCAAACAGTGAAGTTGTAGAAAGAAAAGGGAAAATGGCTAAAAGCCAGACAGGAAGGAAAAGAAACCAAAAAAGAACAAAGGCAGGAGGGCCACACAAAGAAAGAAGATGAGGGAAGTGAATAATGGACAGAGGAACAACTTTTTAAGGGACCTATTGTAAAAACAAAGCTGAAGATTGAAAAAAATAAGTAAATATGGGTTAAAATGAAGGCAACAAGGGATTATCACTAATTAATTATTGTGTGACTAATCATTGAGGAAACATACTCAGATATTCCTGTCCCAAGAACTGCTTCTCTGGGCGGTCCAGCAGTGAACAAGAGTGGGTGAGGAGAGGCTAAAGAACAGATGACCTTGGCAAAAGGACAGGATTTTACCCAGTGTTGGTCCATGTCATGAACTATGACACCTGCCACTGAAAAACTTGACTTCCTCAGAAATACCAAGGAGAACAGTTAACTCTTTTTTCCTCAGTTTGCATCAGCAGCAATACTGTCATACAAAGACATCTGAGGGATAAGAGGAAAGCAGAGAAATAGTTTGATGGTGGTGGACTTAGCTGAGTTGAAACTATATAGGCTGCCACAGCCTTCTGGAACATTAGAAAAGATGTGATGGTGTAGGTAGGAGAGCTGCAGTGAAGGCCTGCTTAGTCTGGCAGGGTAGGGCAGGAGTGCTTCCAGCCTTATCCAAATCCCATTTTCAGAAGTATTTACATGGTTCTCAAGACTTCCTTTCCATCCTCTGAGAGAGTTTGCAGGCTGTTTCCAGTGTACCCTACCTTGCTTGGCCGGGGCCTTCTGACAGAAATGGCTGCAAATTCATAGTTGGCTTTTCTGAGCCAGAAGTAGTGATGCCAGTGTAAGGCTTTGCAGGATGATGTGTGACCACTCTGAGCTCCTGCTGGCTTGTCATGACTTTTCTGCGAGCCTGCCTGGGTCAGGTCTTGGATGTATTTTTCCTTTCTTGAGAAAGTGACCTGACCATTATTCTACTCAGACACATCCCCTTGCAAGATCTATCCCTCCTATAGGCCATCTCAGCAAGCACACTTGGGTTTCAGTTGGCCTTCGTGGAAAAAAAAGGATATTTCCAGAAGATAGCACAGATAAATGGAAGGATGTAGGTCAAAGGATACAAATTCACATCATCCAGATAATTAGCAGGGATCATTTTTTACAGTGTGTTGCATCTTTATTGTCTGTGCGGTCCTGCCAGGAAGGATCTTTCTGTTTCTATAGGGATTTTCAGTACACATTGAGAGATGTACCATAAGGAAGAATCAGCTACACAGACTTTCCAAAGGGACGTTACAGTCAGTAAACATTACCTGCCTATCAGCACAGTTTATCTACCTGGGAAGGAAAGATGTTTGAGATGTTTTAGTACAGACTAGTCCTGAGAAAAAATGAGACAGCATTAGGGCTTTAATGGGGAGGGTGCTATAAATAGCAGCAAACATTTACATTTCCAACTATTTCAGGACCAATCTACTTGATATTTGAGTACTGTTGCTATGGTGACCTTCTGAACTACTTAAGGAGCAAGAGAGAAAAGTTTCACTGGACACTGACAGATATTTTTAAACAGCATAATTTCAGCTTTTACCACAATATTCATTTGGACCAAAATTCCAGGTAAAGCATTTAGCAACAGTTTAATATTTTTTAAAACTACTATCACTTCTTAAACTGCATTCTCAGCTGTGCACTAAACTGATGAAAACATTCAATTCTTGAGAATGTGCTTTGACGTACTTTAATAAATAATGCTTTGGGAGGAACTGAGATTTGATTCTCCTTATGATGTTCTTCACACTGGACTGCAGAATACAAGCAATCTCTTGTTTCTCTTTCCAGTTTGGAGAAGTCTCATGTCTGTGCATGTCTGTGCCCAGATTTTTAATATCAGTAACTGATCATGGTTTTCACTGTGAAACCATTTATGTGTAGAAGATTACATGATACACTGTGTGTAACCTTTGAAAATATGTTGCCCGCTCCAGGATAGGGACTCACCTGAAGTATGGTGTAAATACAACTCCGTGCAGAGAAGATGAATTTGAAACCATGCAAAGAAGTCAAAACATAAATGTGACATCTGGCTCAAATGGGATAGTGCTGTTCTCTGAGGAAGGTAAGAGACTGATTGATTTTATCTTTACTAATTCTGTTATTAGGATAAAAAAGATAGATGCTCTTTGTGATGTTGTTCTTGGTAGGAGCACAGGAAAATTCTTAAAACTGTCAGTGGAATTAATCAGAGAGTGAGGAAGCCTGTGGAAAACTCATACTTGGTTATTTTTTACAGATAAAATTAAGGATACAAGCACACAGGTGGATGAAGAAGAGGATTTTAATGTGCTCACTTTTGAAGACCTTCTTTGCTTCTCTTATCAAGTTGCCAAAGGAATGGAATTTCTTGAGTCCAAATCGGTACAGTAAAGGGTAGCAAATTGTTCAGATAGAAAAGGCAGTAAAAAACCATCAGATTATAAAAGGCAGGTTGAAGAACAGAGACACTCAGTGGCAAGCTTGAACTATACCTCCTTCCCTGGCTTAACAGCAAAGGCTGAATTGCAGTTTTAGGCACCACTCTGAGTAAGAAGCATCCGCACTGAACACTTGTGCCTGCTCTGGCCCTGTCCCCTAGCCATGATCAAACAGGGAGCATCCAGCTTGCCCATTCACAAAACTGTTTAAGTGGAAGGAGGGAGCAACTCAGAGAGCAGGGAGTTGTCTTCCTCTGATACTAAATGCTGCAGAGCATTAACCATTCCTTTCCTTCTAAGTGCATTCACAGAGACCTTGCTGCCCGGAATATACTAGTGACCCATGGAAAAGTGGTGAAAATATGTGATTTTGGCCTTGCCAGAGATATAATTAATGACTCCAACTACATTGTCAGGGGAAATGTAAGTTCATGAGCACTCTCTGGCTTTCATACCATTGTAAGAATTATAAGGAACCAAGAAAGTGAAGTTTTAATTTTTAAATTCCTTGTTAGCTTTGCAGATATCTGTACCGAAAGTGCAGACATCTCACTTTTTTCTGCCCCTGGCAAATGCAGATTCTTAGCTTATGATTAAACTAATCAAGCTAGTACTGTAAATGAAATGATACCCATGTTCTTTCTAAAGCACACTGAAATCCACTGATGGAAGCACTGGGAGTCGTTTACTATTGCAGACAATAATAGTATAGGACAATGTGGGGACATCCCAGATCCTCTGCCTGTATGAAGAAGTACAGTGTGGGCTTCTCCATCTGAGCCACTCACTCTAGAAGTCGTAAGAAGGAAGGCAGCTCTTCCAGGACTGAGCTCATCTCTCCTTAAATAGTCATCTAAAATGGATGAGATTAATTGACTCCTTAGAAGTGCCCATTTCTCTCTATAACAGGAATTTCAAAGGACTACTAAGAGAGACACAGCTCTTGACATGGCAAACATGAATTGATCATATTCAAGCAGTGAGAACTACAGTGAGTCATCTAGAAAGCCTGTGTCAAAGCATGACCTGGCCTCCTTTCCCCCTGTCTTTACAGGCTCGTTTACCTGTTAAATGGATGGCTCCTGAAAGCTTATTTGAGAGAACGTACACAATGAAGAGTGATGTCTGGTCATATGGAATATTACTATGGGAAATATTCTCTTTGGGTATGTTTTGTAATAGGACAAAAAAGCAGTGTTTGGTTTTGTTAGCTTCTGAATTAACATGTATTCTCCAATAATTTCCACAGGTGTAAATCCCTACCCCGGTATTCAGGTTGATACAAATTTCTACAAATTAATACAAAGTGGATTTAATATGGACCAACCATATTATGCTACAAAAGATGTGTAAGTGTACTTCTTGCCTGATGCAGAGTATGTGAATTTATATTTACCAGGTCACTGTTTGAATGACCTTTTATTTATTGTATACACTGTCTTGCTCATAATAAGTTGCAAAACATGAGATCTTCCTCTAACTCTGGAAAAGGCTGCCTGATCCTGCAGGTTTTGTTCTAAAGCAGAAGTGATCAACACTAAAGGTTATGTGTGTTTGAAAAGACTAATTTATCATATTTATTTAATTGTGCCTTCCTTTCCCAGGGAACAATTCTTGTTCCCAGATCAGAGATATTTTTTTTTCCCTTGTTTTCCTTTGCTTTTTTTCTTTTTTTTATTTTCCTTTATTTTTTTTCCCAAGAAAAAAAAAAATATCAGTTTTGAATATTGACTAAATCTTTGGTGGGTTTTTTTCTAAACTTTTTTTTTTTAATTGAGCTTTACTACATTTGTTTTGGTTCAGGGTGGCTAGGGATCCTGTTAGATAAGAATCTTGCTAAGGAAGAGTTGGGGGGAGCTATTTCTGCGCTCTCAGTATATGATTTTTAGCCTGTGCCTCTGTGCCTGGGTGGGCTTTGCCTAGAGGTGGATCCCAGGGGACAAGAGAAGATGATAGGGAGCTATGAGACCTGGAACATGGAGAAGAAGGAAGGACTTTGGATTGTCTGAGCTCTTCTGGCAGACATTTCATAGATGGTCTAGGGACTCAGTGCCTTGCTATGACACTGTACTGCTCTTATCCTCTCCATGGAAATGGCATTACAGGTACAAGTGACTCTGACAGGATGACCCATGAAAGATTGCTGTGGTGCTTATAAATATCAGGGAACCTCTTGTCCCAGTAACTTTGGAAGGAACTTTAATGGATAGGTGCTGCACAAGTGCCTGATGAAACTGCAAAATCTCTAAGGTGGTGTTTACATTTTAGAAAGACATTTGTTATGTTAAATTACATCAAAAGACTTGCTGTGAAAAGTGCTCTCAAGAATACATAGTCCACAAGGAGCAGGTTCAGTCCCAGAGACAGATAGGAATTGTTTTCCTACAATTTTCTGTATGGAAGCTGGAAAACAGGGTTAGCATGCCAGTATGTGCCAACCAGGATGGAATTCTGGTCCCAGTTCTATGAGGAGGATTTTACTAAGGACTCTTGTAAAACCATGTTCTTCATTTCACCCTTGATCCTTATCTTTCTGTGTCTTTTCCTTAGATGCAAGAGAGTAGTTCTGGCCTGTTTCTATAAAATCATTCTGATGCCCCATGATTCCCATTCAAATCCTGCAACACTATGTAGTCATTTATAGATAGTCCAAGAGCTAACATATTTTCTGTACCACCTCTTTGCTTCTGCAGCTATTGCATGATGCAGTCCTGTTGGGCCCTTGACTCCAGAAAAAGACCCTCTTTTTCTTGCCTGGTTTCCTCTCTTGCAGATCAACTGGCTGAGGCAGAAGGAGCAGTAAGTAAACACAGAAATACCAACAATGTGAACAATGTTTGGGTTTGACTAGGGGAGTTTGGGGGGTTTTTGTGTAGCTCCATAGATCAGAATGAGCTGAGGAATAGCCTTCTGCTTTCTCTTGAAGTATACAACTGTGTTATGGATACAGTGCCCATGGATCTATGTAAGAGTCTGGGGCATTTTTTCTGCCATCAGAAAGAATCCTGACCTTCCTGATGAGGAGTTTCTTCCTCCCACTGCCTGCACTGGGCCTCTGGAAAGCTGAAAGGTCTCAACCTGTGCTGTGGGGATGTGCTTCCCCTATGCAGGAGCTGGTGCAGTTTGCTCTGGTGATGCTGATAGATGCCATGGGAGGGGAGCTGATGCCAGGAATCTCACAAGGGGTCACCATAGGTATGTGCTACCATGTCCTCACAGACAGAGTGCTGCATGTCCTCCTCAAAGGTCCAAATACTAAACAGGATCTGAAGAAGCCCTGTTCCATTCATACCAGACAGTTATCTCTTCTTCAGGGACAATAACTTCTTTCCAAACTACCACTTTCTACCTGGTTATCCACCCTGGGCTAGACACACTATTTCCCAGTGCGGTGTCCTTAAGAACCTTTTGGGATATGAGGAGTGACTCTTGCCTTTGCAGCATTGAGCTTCTCAGAAGGCTGTTAACCTGGCAGAAGCTGTCAACTGTAGGAAAGAACTAATAAGCAACTTCAAAGCACTATGTCTATGAAAAAAATCTTCCTTTACAGTCCAGTGCCATCCCTCAACCCAGCTCTTTTTGGCTAGATAAGATCCATGTCACTTAGGCAGTAGTCTGGACTCCCTTTGGAGTCAGTGGGAAGTAAACTAGCAGACATGAGTGTGATTCTCCCTCAAGAGGGGGTGGACTGTACATGACTAGTGTCTGCTTCATGAGGAGAAGAGCAGGCTTCCAGGTACAATAAGTAATAATAGAAGATGTCTTTTATTTCCTCTTCCTAATTCTAGTTTTACCAGAATATGAAGAAAAATTCTGCTACAAACAATTCCAGCATCAAAACTAAACCAGGAAGTGTAAGCAGGAATGAGGAGTCTCTGCTGTTCCCAACTGAGCACCATAATGAAGACCCTCAGGCTGAAAAATAATCTGGGTTGTGGATTTGATTATTTTCATAAACTCTGTGTAGGATAAGTGTTTTACACCAGCTCTGAGAAGATATTTTGTCACCAAATGCAGCACTGTTTGCATTTTTTGTGGTCCCATCCATATTTATGTGACTCTGAGAAGAAGAGATGATTCATTTATTTGAATTCAGCAAACACATCTATAGCAAGACAGGTCTTTTTGCTGCCTCTCTACAACTGGATATCTCTTTTCCTGGTGTTATGTAAATAGCATCAAACCAACGTATTGAATTCATACTGTTCTTGCCTCATCACAAGCAAACATGAGAAAATCCACAGGTTTTTTTAGTCAATGTTTACAAGCATTGACTATGCACTAAAAAGAGATGGTTTGATTTCCAGAGGTGCTGTTCACAACTTCATCTCCAGATGTCACTGAGTGTTAGAAAAACAAAGACCATTCGAGTAGCCAACTTTAGATGACAAGTTTTAGAGTTTCATCAGTCTTGTTTTTACAAGGAACTCTTAATTTAATTGTGTATAACTGTCTTATCCTGGATATTTCAGTCGCTGTAAAGTAGTTGACCGGTGTCATGTTCAGGTGAGTTCATTTTATCAAGCTAGAAGTACTTGGGTGGCCTCTAGTCATCCAGGTTACATTCTGCAACTGCTGGTGAGACCTAGGCATTTGCAGTGAGTCATTCCTTTCTATCTAAAATAAGAATCTAAAATAAACAGGAGGATTGATATTTGGAGATAACCTTCTACCTCCCTGTTCTAGAAAATCCAGGTGGTAGTCTCCAGCTGGAAGTCTCATTTCAACTGAATTACAGCTAATTCCATTCTGGGGGCTTTGTGTGTTTTAATATCAAATAAAAAATGTTTAATTTTGAATAAACTATCTTCTATAGCAATTTAGGAGTGTAATATCATCACTCCCAATTCCCACATATCAGTCTGGGTGTATGAATCCTGCTGCACTAAAATGAGAGTATTACCTATTTAACTTTCTCGCAGAGTTCCAGGACAATAACCAGAGGCTTGATGTGTTTTCAGTATAGTTAGAAAGACAATTATTTTCATTATGAGGTTAGGAATTTGTAAATGCAACCTCCGTCATGATTAACAGGATACATTTGTCTGCATCTCAGTGAATGAATATGAGAATGTATTGGTTAATAGTTTTCTTTTTTTACATTTTGCAAGGTGCTAACTTAATTTAGGATTTTTCAGTGACATGTGTTATAAATTAATAACTTTTTTGATAGAATATACTATAAATTTAGCTGCTCTTTACTAATTTTGTCTGAAAATAATGTTGTAATACAGTGATTGTGATTTGTATATTTTTGTTGATAGTTAATAATTAACAAGGAGTCATAAATTTTTTAATCAGATATAAACTGCCAAAGAGTAATTTTGAAATATTCAGATAGAAATAAAACTTTAACATTTCTTTTTCTGGAAAACGTATATTATTTTTAACATACTTTCAAAGTGTTCATCTGCAAGATATCACTGTTCAGCACTGTTAACACACAGCCCTCATCAGCTGGAAAGAGGATCTTGAGTGTCTTGTGCAGACAGTTTTCAGCTGTCAGAACTAGAGGAACTTAATGCTGAACTGGTCACATCCAAGCCTAACTGACCCTGGAAGCTAGCAGATGTAAACTTGGCTCATAGAAAAGCAGATGGGAATCCCATGAGCTTTAAAACATGCCAGGGATTTGTGTCAAATATTCTTCCACGAGAATTAAAAAGAAGTGGGTAGGGGTCATCTGGCCCCATCATCACTACTAAGCTGAGACTTGGGAATATAAAGGAAAACAGAGAACCTTGGAGCTAACACAACTTCTCATGATGCACACATGAAAAGCAGATCAGGTAACACAGCACTCTGTGAGGAAGTGCAATCAGGAGAAAAACCCTCCTGTAAGGGCTGATCATGTGTAGAGTTGTACACGTGCTTCTCCACACAACAGAGAGAGATGGCACAAAGCTGCAAGAGGTACTGAGTGAAAAATAGTATCTTCTAGGAGCACATTTCCTTTCCAGGATGCTTCCAACACAACTTAGCAAAATGGTTTGCTGAGGCTTGTGTAGAGCCACAGGCAGTGGAGTAGTTTCACGATTCTTAAAGGAAAATGTCCACATTTCTCTTATTAGAATCCAGACCCCTAATCTGTGTCTCCAGGAGCTGATTGCCTGGAGAAAGTGACGAAGTCCCCCCTGTAGTGAATGGAGAGAGTTAAGCTTGTTTGAAGACCTCCAGCAGAGATGCCTTTAGTCTAAGCTGCGTGCATTAGGCTAGGCTGAGACTTACAAAGATTCAGTAATCATTGATGCAGGAAGAAGAGTAGAAGGAGTTGAGGTCAATTCAAGGTGCCAAAGGGCAAAGGACACTGCACTCTCCTACTTAGCAGTAGCAGAAATTAGAAGGAAGATAAATTTGACAACCGAAGCTAAAGAACAGGATGGCATAGAGTGATCTGTCCTAATTTTCTTTCCCTTCTACCTGTAAGAGCACCCCTCGGAGCTGGCAGCCCGTTCCCGAGGAAGAGTCCCCGCGGGATGCCACGCGGCAGCCCGGGGACAGCCGCAGCTGGCACTAGGTGGAGCTCCGCGACCGCGGCTGCCGGGCAGGCAGTGACGGAGCGGGTGGTGCAGAGGGGACAAGGAGCCGGGCTGGCGCTCAACAGAAGGGCCTGGGCCAGCCGCGGTGTCTGGACCAAAGCTACAGGACACCGGGAGACCAGAGCTGGGGATAGGGGTGTCGGCCAAAAGGAATTCACAGCCAAAACTTCGTAGCAGAAACCGCGACTGGCCCAGTTCCAGGGCAAACGACTCAGTCCCCGACCTCAGTGCGTTCTCCCAAACAACCATGCCCGTGTGTCACAGGCAGCAGGGACAAGAAAAAGACTCTTGTCTGGATCGAGAGAAACTGGAGGTGCTCCTCCAACACGTCCCACTCTTGTGTTTGGGATACCTGAGATGGGCTCTGGGAGAAGCTGGGGCTAACCATGTGTTGAACCAGAAGAGGAGAGCAGAACTGACCCTGTCATGCATGCTGGCAGTGGCTTTCAGTCCACATGTTCATGGAGGGAACTGTGAAATGGGATGAAGAAATCCAAGGTCATAGCTGCGACAGAACTATTTGCAGACAGGTTATTTTTTAGGAGGCAACACTTCTCCTGGAAACTATTTTGGAGGCAAAAATCAAAGCAGGTAGAAGATAATTGGATTAGGACATTCCCCACGGAGCTGGATACATCAAATCTCAGTCCCCTACTCCCAGACACAGCACTAGATCAAGTGCTCAGTGTCTCAGGGGTCACTCTTCCCAGCCAAATGCAGTGCAGCACCGAGCTGATGCCTTCTTCCCTCCCCCATCAGTGGCTAATTAGTTAGACTATGCAAAGCAAACCAGCTTTAAAAAAAAACAAGGCACAAAAAGACCCATCCAGATTTGTGGTTGAAGAGGCCACGGATCACTTCAGAAAGAGCTGGGACCTGAGCTCAGCTTCCTCTCACCCTTGGTGAGCATCCCAGCACTACAGACTGACAGGGAAGAAGTCCCTTCCAGGCAGGCTGTCTCAGACCAGGGCTGGATTCAGGCTTCCTGACATATTTACCAGTGATGACATAAACAGAGGGACTGCTCAGGTCAGGGATTCTGTCTTATAGGTCACTGACACATTAGAATTTATGTGTTTAAGGCTGTGCTGGAAGACTGATAGAGTAACATTCCTAGCAGAAGTGTAGGTGCCTTGGCATACAATCTGGTTCAGATCTCAGTCGAGAAGAAATTTTGAAGACCTGTGTTGAGCAGAGAGGTGGGAAAGTGGTGATGCTCCTGTGGTCACTTCCACAGAGACGCGTGAAGATTGGGATGGGATCCAGTTCATTTGATACTGCTTGGTTGGGATGAAAACCCACCGGAGGTCCTGACAGTGACCCAGTCCTCCCTCCATGTGTTACCTACACCCATTCATGATTCTTTGCACTAAGTTAATTCTAAGTTAAGCTTTGGCACACAGCTGTGGCAGCCCATATATGCCCAGAGAAACCTCTTTCCAGGTGCAATAGGGTTCCCCTTCCTCCATGCCCTATGCAATGTCTACATCACCTTCTGAAAAAAGCCCAGAAGTTGCTTCTAATGACAGCCCTCCAGTCCCACCAGTGCCATGACAGCACCATCCTCAGAAGGGGTTTGGAAGCTTCAGATCCTAAAAAGAAAGAGATGCTGTGTTCTAGTTTCCACTGTATTTCTCTTGGAGAAGCGATTGCCTGATGTGGACTAAGATCTCCTTTGGAAGACCTTCCTACGCGTGGCTGTGCTCTGGGTGTGGAGGGACTGGGGAGCTAAACTGAGGCAAAGCAGGGCTGGTCCCCGGGAGCTGAGCAGCGAAGGAGCGCCCAGGGGAGGGCAGCGTGAGCCATGGCTGGGAGCCGACCCTGGGTCTGCCTGTCCATATCTTCCGCTCCTTTTCGGGCTTCTTTTTAGACCAGAAGAAAATGTGGTGAGACTCCCCTCCCAGGAATTAGAAGAAGACAACTGGGAGCAGATGAGAGGTGGTGAAGAGCAGTGAGTTAGTTACTCCTTGGAGCCAGGAGGTCTGAGATTTTATTTTGGATGGAACAGGTGTGCCAGTGGAGAAAGACAGATCTTCTCCTGTCTTCTCACAGCCCCAGAATAAAGAAAGGTGGGAGCCTTGGCAGGTTACCTGCCAGGCCAAGAAACCACTTGGCGCTTGCCTGCTTTGGACTCCTACATTTTCTAATATGAAATATCGTCCACAAAGCACCACGACCCTTCAGGGATGTATACAGTTATGGCCTCACAAACAACAAACCATCTGCATGGGCCAACATCACCCTGTGTGTCTGCTGACTGACAGAGTTTGCAGGATTGGGCTTGCCGCAAAACACAGGCTGAGGGAGATGGTGGTATGGGGCAATCACCCCACTGCATCTCGCCATGGAAGGGCCTGAAGCCGGCAGGGGGAATAAATCAGCAGGACTAGTTGCAGAGACGGGAAGACATGCCCATAGGGCATGCATCATCTCCCTGCTGAGCTTATGTTTTAATGCTGGGAGATGTAGGAAATGAATCAGTGAGGAAGACAATGAAGACACTAGAGTTTATATTGCCCTTGGGAGATGGGGACAGTCCGAGGACTCGCTGGTGGCAAATGTGTGCAAACCATTTCACAGCTGGAATTTGGTGTTTTGCTCGGCGTGGGAGTCGACACGCGTGTTAGTGGCTCTTTCCCGCCAGCTGGGCCGGGGCTTGTAGTTTCCCGGGGAGCGGTGTGTCTCTGGGAGACAGCTGGAAGGCCGGAGAGCACCCTCTGCCTCGGGGTCCCGGCCCGGCCGTGCCTCGCCGCAGAGCCGAAAGCGGGCGCCTCGGGAGCACCGCGCTCCGGTTACATCCCGCACCGGGCGCTGCTGGTGCCGAGGGAGCGAACAGGGGCCCTGCGTGCTGCGGGGAGCGTCCGTGGGCGGACGGGGGGTGTCCTTGGCGGGGAGGTGTGATAACAGTCGAACTCTGAGCTCCCTTCCAGGGAGTGGGACGGCCCCCGCCCACACCAGCCGGGACCGCGCCGCCGGGGCCGCCCCGCGTGTGCCCGCTGCCGGGTCACTCACGGCTCCCGTGACCGGATCAGACCCCGACTCTCCCAGGTGGGACATGCCAGCAAAGTCCGGGCACAAGCGCTCTGCAGGCGGCCGAGGCGCGCTGCAGGCGGCCGAGGCGCGCTGGTGGGGCTTTTCTTCCCTGTGGCATTTAAAAATGATAAAATAAAATAATAAAATAAAATAAAGTAATAAAATTCAACCAAGGCTATTTCCTTAGCCAGCAGATGTGTGCCGGAGGCCTCTGGTCGCGGTTCACCGGAGACTTCCAAGAGAGCTGAGCAATGCCAAGCCCACGTAAACAGGGTCAGGGAGCGCGACAGGGATCAGCCTTTGGTCCTCCCGCGTCGGACAAACCGAGTGTCTCCCCAGGAGGATCTGGCCACTGGACCCGAGCGGCTGCGATCACACTCATTGGCCTCCGGCTGAATGAAGCTTCTGGTGTATAGTATTATTTATCATTATTTTTCCCCTTCTTTTCTGCTTACGTTCCTACTTCCTGAAGGGGAGCAGGGCGATGTGAACTCAGGCCTGACAGCACCTGTGCAAAGAGGCAGGGCCGGCCGGAGCCGCGGGGGCGACCCG